TCAACGTGGGACGTCAAATAGACGGCTTGAACTAGCGCACTGTTTTTAAAAGCGGAAGGGAAAGGGCAGATGCGAGACAATAAGGGAAGTACAAAGGATTTTTGAGCTATTAAGCAGTAGGGCTTGGAGGAGGGAAGGATGCTGCTGATTCAATGTTCCATCCTTGCACTATACTGTAATGTAAGCCCCAACATTAATTACTACCTGAGCATCTATAACCGGGAGGGCCCAGACTGCTTAACCATTATGGTCCACATGTGCACTCTGCTCCCATTTAACAAGCTGCCAAGCCAATAATCCTCCTTATCATGGAGACCAAGGAGCTCCAGTGGTGATAGGGGGGTAAATACTGGGCTGCCAACCACCAGGTTGGTGGTTCATACTCACCAACTACCCACCATTGCGTTTCACTCACGGTGTCATGGGCAAAGGCTTGCCAACTACTAAACAGTGGTTTCTTTGGGCACTTATATTTTTCTCCATGTGCATTCCACAGCACTCCGTGGATATGAACGTTTTTTATCAGTGAAACAGATTAAGCGCCACCATTCATTATGTTTTCTATCTTTAAATGAAATCTAGCAATATCTATATTTATACCTCTAGCCCCTTACTAAAAGTCCCAAACTAATGACTGTCAAGTTGATGCCGACTCTTAGTGACTTTATAGTAGAGCACAGAGTAGAACTTCCCCATAGGGTTTCCAAGGCTGTGAATCTTTACAGAAGTCATCTGCCATGTCTTTGTCCCACAGAGCAGCTGGTAGGTTTGAGCTGCCAGTTTGAAGCTGAGTGCTCAATCACTTCCGCCACTATGGGCCCTTCCTTTGTAGTGATATATTTTATATCTATAGACATATATTTATAGTGGTTATACAAGGTCAGCAGTTCAAAACTACCACCCCCTCCAAGGGCGAAAGATGAGGCTTTCTTCTTTTGTACAGAGTTACAGTCTTGGAAACGCATAGGGGTCGTTCTACCCTGTCTTATGAGGTTGGAAGGAGTCAGAATGGACTCAGTGACCATGAGTTTGGTTACTTTGGACACACACACGTGTATATAGAGAGAGATTGACAGATTTCGCTAAATATTTAAATTATGGAGCTGATAAAGCTAGACACCTGTGTAACAGATAGATGTATCATGAAGACAATTGTACTGCTTCAGTAGATAAAGAAGATACTGGCCAACTTGATACTAAAACTGGCCTCCTCTGTAAAATCAAGTCATTCCAACAGAATTTTTATACAGAATAGAAGTGTTAAACTGATCAATTAAAGCATACCCTAAAATATCACAGTTCTTTTCATATATGGGGAAATAGCTAAATGTCAAGAAACCCCTTTGGTTCCGTTTAACCCAGTTTTGGGCTGCTAACTGAAAGGTTGGCAGTTCAAACCTGCCAGCCTCTTGTCAGTGAAGGTTTACAGTCCCCACAGCCCAGTGAAGCAGCTCTACTCTGTCCTTCAGGGCCACGATCAGGCCGAGCCAACGTGCAGGCTATGCTTCAGAGAGAATCAAGACTTTCCTTATGACTCTTAAAAGCATTCCTAATGTTTATCATCAACCGTTTAACCTTGCCAGTGTGAAGCAGACATCGTTATCTACCTCACAGGATCCAGGAAAAAGCATAGTAACACACAAAGGCCCCAGCCTCCTTGACTGGCTCGGAGTCCAAGCTTACAGGATATGCTGCTGCCTTAACCTCTCACCTTCGTTTTTACCCCGTAACTGTCAAACACCCTTCCTGGGGATCATGTTCAACTCTTGGTTCTGGAAAATCATTTGATATCAAAGTCTTTTGATCCTCTTCCAGGTTCTCTGCTAACCCAAAGCTTTTACACACCCGCCTCCCACGACTCCTCTATCATCTACCAGGAAGGAGAAACTCAAGAGGAGATGAAAAATCTTCTAGTGCTGGGGACTCTGCCTCCCTCTCACTTCCCCACAGGGTTATACCCAATGGTTTTCCTCCTTCTCTCTTTCCTCATAAAAAATCAAGTCATGTTCCTCAAACTGGGAAGATTAAGAAAGAGCCCTTTGCTCCTTTTAGTATTTGCAAAGAGGGGTGACCTCAGGTGAATGGATTTTCCCTGGGGAGAAGTACTCTCTTCTTTGAGGGCAGAGAACTGTCTCTAGGACTTAATTGTCCCTACATTGATTACCTTTCTAGTTATTCATCTAAACTCGTCTGACAGGCTTCTTTGAAAGAGCTGGTCAAAATTGAGATTATAGTTCCAAAGGAGAGCTGTTTAAAAGCAAACGCAAAACAAGACTCCAAAACCGC